CTGCAATCTCTGCTTTTTAAGTGAGTGAATGTTTAGATTATTTACATCTAATGTAGTTATTGATATGGTTGTATTTTTTTAAAATATTTTATTTGAGCGAGAATAATATTTTATTTATTTGAGGGTGGGGAGAGGGACAGAAAGAGAGGAAGAAGCAGGTTCCCCAATAAGCAAGGAGCCTGATGCAGGGCTGGATCCCAGCCTGAGCTGAAGGCAGTCACTTAACCAACTGAGCCACCCAGGCTCCCTGGTTGAGTTTGAAACTACCATCTTGCTTTTTTTTTTTTTTTTAAACTTACTTTTTTGTTGCTTATTCCACTTTTGCTGTTTTTCTTCTTTCTTTGTATTAAAGGCTATTTTCTGTTTTTATTCTATCTCCTTCTTTGCTTATGAATTACATCTAATAACTTATTACTTATTAGCTTTATTATTTTAGTAATGCTTTGGGTTTATACATCTTAACTTATCATAGTCTAAACTCTACTCTGTAAGTTCCCATATGGTACAAGAATCTTACAAAACGTACTTCCATTTCTCTTCTCTTGGTCTTTCTGCCATTACTGTCACATTTTCTGCTAAATGTGTTATAAATCCTGCAATCCTGTTGTTATTTTTGCTTGCAGATTTATACACATTTTGCAGAAAATTTTTACTCCAGTAAAAAGCTCACTAAAAATGAGAGTTTTCAGTATCACAACTCAATGTCTAAACTTAAAATAATTTTGTTAAATATCCATTGTGCTTATATTAAAAAAAAAAAAACCCTAAACACAATTAGCAAATACTTACAAATGAATCACAGTGATTATCCTACAGGTTTAAGCGAGTGGATTGTTTAAAAAAATTTTTAAAAAGCCTATAAAAGGAAAATCTATATTTCTAACTACCCTTAGCAGAAAACAAGTTCAGAATCAAAGAAACTAATGCTTCAGTTCAAATAGTGAGAAGTAGGAATGAGTAAACCCAAATCAAGAAGCAGAAATGAGGGGCGCCTGGGTGGCTCAGTGGGTTAAAGCCTCTGCCTTCGGCTCAGGTCATGAGGCTCAGTTCATGATCCCAGCATTCTGGGATCGAGCCCCACATCGGGATTTCTGCTCTGCAGGGAGCCTGCTTCCCCTCCTCTCTCTGCCTGTCTCTCTGCCTATTTGTGATCTCTGTCAAATAAATAAATAAAATCTTTAAAAAAAATGAATGGAAAACATGATAGGAAAAAAATTTAAAAAGAAGGAAAGAAGAAAAGTATGAAAACAAAACTACATGTCTGTTTCTAAAAGAACAAGATAGACAAACCTCTAAGAAGCATGATTTTAAAAAGAGAGGAAAAATAAATACTGATTGAATCTAGATATAATGTCAAAATTAACAGATTTTACAATGTTGAAAGGGTACTATGAAATATACATAATAGAGTGCATAAAATTATAGAAAGTAAGTTTAATTTCTCAAAATATATGAACAAGACTTGACAAAAAACTAAAAAATCAGTTAGACTACATTTTTAATGTATTAAAATGGAATTCCAAATCTTTGCTCCACACAGAAAAGAAAATTTGAAATTCAAAAAGCTATATGTTTTCATGAGCATGGAGAAACAAATGCCCCAGTATTGGTGGGGAAGTGAGTCCTGGAGCCATGGTTTTAGAAAACAGAGACACAGATTTTGCAGAATTACCTCACATGATTTGGCAGGTAGCAAGGCCTATATCCTTAGGGCAAGTCCAATAGGCTAGAGATTCAAGTAAGAGTTAATCCAAAGGCTGGAGACTCAGGCAGAATTTCTATAAGGCTGTCTGAAGGCATAATTCTTTCTTTTCTTTCTTCTTTGGGGATACTCAATCTTTTGCTCTTTAGTTGATTAAATGAAGCCTACCTATATCCACATTTGGAAGGATAATCTGCTTTACTTAAAATAATCTGATTTTATTTTACTTTATTGAAATACAGTTGACCCACAGTGGTATATCAACTTCAGGTGTATCACATAATGATTCAACAAGTCTCTATGTTCTGCAGTGCTCAGCACAAGTGTAGTCACCACCTGTCACCGTATAATACTATCACAATACCACTGACTATATTCCCTATACTGTACTTTTTGTTCCCTGGATGTATTCATGCCGTAACTTGAAGCCTGTACCTCCCATTCCCCTTCATACCTTTTGCCCACTGCTTACTCCCCTGTCCTTTGGCAACAGCAGTTTGTTCTTTGTATATATGGGTCTGTTTCTGCTTTTTGTTTGCTTATTCACTTTGTTTTAGATTTCACACATTCATCAAAGTATTTAGAGTTTGACTTATTTCACTTGGAATAATACCCTAGAGGTCCATCCATTTTGTCACAAATGGCAATATCTCTTTCTTTTTTATGGCCAAGTGGTAGTCCGTTGCTCATACATATATGCCAAATACTCTCTATCTTTTCATCTATGGATGGACACTTGGGTTGCATCCATATCTTGGCAATTGTAAATGATGCTACAATAAACATAGAGGTATATATGTCTTTTCAAATTACTGTTTTTGTTTTCTTTGGGTAAATATCCGGCAGTGGAATTACTAGGTTGTATGGTATTTCCATTTAAAAAAAAATTTTAAGGAACCTCCATACTGTTTTCCACAGTGATTGTACCAATTTACATTCCCACCACCTGTGTACAACAATTCCTTTTTCTCCACATCTTTACCAACACTTATCTTTTGTCTTTTTGATACTAGCTATTTTGAGAGGTGTGAGGTGACACCTTATTATAGTTTTGATTTGCATTTCCCTGATGATTAGTGATAATGAGCACCTTTTCATGTATCTGTTGGCCATCTGTATGTCTTATTTGGAGAAAGGTGGCTTTTTTTTTTTTCCATGTTGGATTGTTTAAGTCCTTTACATATTTTGGCTCTTAACCTTTTTTAAAAAATTGATTTAAATTCTAGTTAGTTAACATATAGTATAATATTTATTTCAGGAGTACAATTCATTGATTCATCAGTTACATCTTAGACCCATTGCTCAACACAGGTGCCCTCCTCAATACCCATCACCATTTAGTATTTTGTCTATTAACCTCATACTGCATATATCATTTGCAAGTATCCCGCCTCATTTAGTAGGTTGCCTTTTCATTGTATTGACGGTCTCCTTTACTGTGCAAAAGCTTTTTATTTTGCCATAGTCCCAATAGTTTTTTTGCTTTTGTTTCCCTTGCCCAAGGAGATCTATCTAAAATAAGTTGCCGAGGCCACTGCCAAAGAGATTGCTGCCTATGCTTTCCTCAAGGAGTTCTATGATTTCAGGTCTCACATTTAGGTTCTCAGAGCATTTTAAGCTTTTTGTGTATGGTGTAACAAAGTGCTTCAGTTTCATTTTGCATGGAGCTATCCAGTTTTCCCAACACCATTTTTTGAAGTGTCTTTTCCCCATTATATATTCTTACCTCCTTTGTCATAGATAAAGCCAATTGCTTTTAAATGTTAGTCACACCTAAAAAAAACCTTTGTAGCAAGGATTTACACTCATGTTTGACCAAACAATAGTTCACCATTGTCTATCCAAGTTGACACATAAAATTAACCATCACGTATGTCAAAAATGAATTACTATTTGACAGTCATAAGTAATGAGCTACATTTTAAAATGCAGTGATATCTCAAAATTATTATCAAAATAAATAAGAACTGAATGAGATGACTATTTAGGTAAGTGCAACACATGTACCCTAAAACACCATGCCCACGTAAATGCATACATGTACATGTACAGAACGGAGTAGCATAGAGTGTTCAAAATGAAGTGGAAGTCTCGGTGGGAATGTGCAAAGGTGATGAAGCACAAAAAGAAACAAAATGACATGAAACGTTAGAGGTGCCTTGCATAATGTGATGATAAGAGCCTCCATTCATTAGGGACTGAGGAGTATGATTAACTCAGTTCTGCACAAGTGACATGAGATTCAAGTGTACTGTCTTAATGCAATGCAGTAACAAGTTAAACTATTTTTTAAAGATTTTATTTATTTGTCAGAGAGAAAAAAAGAGACATTGCAAGCATGGGGAGAGGCAAGCAGAGGGAGAGGGAAAAACAGACTCCCCACTAAGTAGGGAGCCTGATGCAGGGCTTGATCCCAGGACCCTGGGATCATGACCTAAGCCAAAGGCAGATGCTTAACCAACTGAGCCACCCAGGCATCCCAGGTTAAACTATTTTTAAAGTTCATGTTAAATATTCTATGGCAACTTGAGATTAAAAGACATTTACTGAACCTGCTAAGTGTACCTACTAAAATCCTATGAAAAATGTCATTCTTCAGGGTTGAGATAAGCCATCACCTCTGTCATCACACAGGTAAGGAGGCACACAGAACTATGACAGAACAAGAAAAGAAATACAATGTATGGTGATTGAAAGTTAAAATCTCCTCATTATGCTCAGATGATAGATGAATGTCTACAAAGAAAAACATAGGGGAATGTACAGAAAAATATTTAGATAGACTGGAAGAGTTCAACAAGGTTGCTGAATTAAGTTTTTTTTAAGTAATCTCTATGCCCAACATGGGGCTTGAACTCAGGACTCTGAGATCAAGAACTACAAGGTCCACTAATGAGCCAGCCAGGCATCCTGTGAATATATGATGTAATATAAAATGCAATATATAAAACTAATTACATGCCTGTCAACAGACAATAACATATAATTTAAACAACGCAGCAAAAAGAAATCAGGTATGAATCCTGTAATGTATCTAACAAAAATATAAATGTTTTTCAGAGTAAAAATATGTATTTTATATTAAAGGGCCTTTCAAAAGACCAAAATAAATGGATTTATATCATACTAAATAGGAAGAATCAATATAATAAAACCGTCAATTGCTTCCATATTAATCGATTAACTGAATGCAAATTAATTAAAATCCTAAAAGTGTTTCTCTTGAGAAACTAATCCTAAAATCCATACAGAAGAATAAAAAGCCAAGCACATCCAGTGTGGTGGGGGGGAGGTCACAAAAGGCAGTGGGGTGGAGGATACTTAAAGTTCCAAAAAAAAGTATGATGCTGAATCTCTCGACTTACCACGTAGTCACATCAGTTTCCCAACGTTGGTACTATTGACATTTGGACCAGAGCATTCTCTGTTGTGAGGAACTGCTCTGTGCATTGTAGGATGTTTTGCAACGTCCTTGGCTTCTACTTCCGCAGTTGTGGCAATCAAAAATGCCTACAGACATTGCCAGATGTCCCCTTCTGGGAAAATTGCCCTGGTTGAGCACCACAGAGTTAAAATAATTAAAATCATTTGATATTGGCATAGGTATAAATAAATAGGCTCATTACAAAGAGGAAAGAAACAGGAATCAGATATACATGAAAATCTGGCGCATATAGAAGTGCTATTACAAATTGGAGGGGAAAGCTTCAACAGAGGATTTTATAATAATGAGCTCTTTATGGAAAATGATAAGCTGAATAGATCTCTTATAGCATACACAAAATAAATCTGATTAACAAACTAAGGGTGAAGATCTGAATGCAAAATTAATGTAGTATACAATGTTTTACCAGCATTTTCCTTTATATCAATCAATCCTAGAAAAACTACACACACATATATTCAAGGAGATATTTAAGAAGACATTTCTTGTGGCATAGTTTGTATTAGCAAAATCATGCAATGCAAACAATTTTATTCTCCCTCACTTTATTTTTTAATTTGATCGAATGCTATGTATCTGTTTAAATGAACATTTCTTCAAAGAAGACACACAAATGGCCAACAGACACAAGAAAAAAATGTTCAGCATCACTCAGGATCAGGGAAATAAGGATCAAAACCATAATGAGATGTCACCTCACACCAGTCAGAATGGATAGAACGAACAACTCAGGAAACAACAGATGTGGCAAGGTTGCAGAGAAAGGGGAAGCCTCTTACACTGCTGGTAGGAATAGCAAACTGTTGCCGCCACTCTGGAAAACAGTATGGAGGTTCCTTAGGAAGTTAAAAATAGAGCAACCCTACAACCCAGCCAATGCACTACTGGGTATTTATTGAAAGGATACAAACATAGTGATTCAAAGGGCTACCTGCACCCCCATGTTTATGGCAGCAATGTCCACAATAGCCAAACTATGGAAAAAGCCAAGATGTCCACTGACAGATGAATGGATGAAGAGTGGCATATATACACAATGGAATATACTCAGCCATGAAAAAAAGTAAAATCTTGCCATTTGTAACAATGAGGGTACAACTAGAGGATATTATGCTAAGCGAAATAAGTCAGAAAAAAAAAACAAATGCCGTATGATTCGATCATAAGCAGATGAATATAGGGGAAGGGAGGGAAAAATAAACTAAGATGAAAATAGAGTGGCTGGCAAACCATAAGACACCCTTAACTCTAGAAAACAAACTGAGTGTTGCTGGAGGGGAAGTAGGTGGGGGGATTGGGTAACTGGGTGATGGGAATTAAAGAGGACATTTCATGTAATGAGCATTGGATACCATATGCAATTGATGAATCACTAAATTCTATTCCTGAAACTAATAATACACTGTGTTAACTAAATTGATCTGAAATAAAGAATTTAAAAGGATTTTTTAAACAAATTTAAATAAATAAGTAAATAAATAAATAATCTGGATCTAAAACTATCAGCATAAGCAAACCTCCAGAAATACAATACCAAGAGAAGAAAACAAGTTGCAAAGCGATACTTACATAAGATAGCATATGTTTAAAAAGTGAAAACACTAAAAACAATAGTATATATTTCACAGTAGCCTACAAAGGGATTAAATAGATAGAAGCCCACGAGGAAAAATTTTATCTTTCTGAGCAGGAGAGGAGAAAAAATGTGAGATTTTAATTACAGATCTACTTAAATCTGTAATTTAAAAAAATGTTCTGAAGTCAATGTGGCATAATTTTAATTTTTTTAAAAGATTTTATTTATTTGACATAGAGAGAGATCACAAGCAGGCAGAGAGGCAGGCAGAGAGAGAGGGGGAAGCAGGCTCACTGCTGAGCAGTGAGCCTGATGTGAGGCTCAATCCCAGGACCCTGAGATCATGACCTGAGCCGAAGGCAGAGGCTTAACCCTGAGCCACCCAGGCGCCCCAATTTTAAAATTTGTTAATGTTTGAGGATCAAACATAAAAATATGTTTTTATATATTTCTATGTGTGGAAAATGTGTTCCTAATAAAAATATAAGGCATTCTTGGTTATGTCTGTGCCATTGATTGAAGATATTTTTATTGTCTAGAGATAAAATTAAATCTACCTATAAATATAAAAATGCAATTAACATGAATGGGTCACAGGCCAATGGCGACCTCCAATGCAGGCTATCTATTTGCATTCCTCCCCTATAAAAGTATCCTTGCATGAGAGACAGGGTACTCCCTGGTTTTCCCAGCAAAAGTTCCACATTCTCACATGGAGACCAGCTGAACAGACAGATGACCTCCTGCTCAGGACGTCATCATTACAACATACAGTCTCAAAGCCGCCTTCTGTTTTGTTTCATGGTTTTCCAGCAGGGAAGAATTAAAATTTAAGTTCTACAGGGACACCTGGGTAGCTTAGTTCAGCCTCCAACTCTTGATCTCAGCTCCCGTCATGATCTCAGGGTCATGGAATCGAGCCCTCCTGGAGCTTGCTTGAGATTCTCTCTTACCCTCTGGGCCCCCCTCACCCCTCTCTCTCCCTCTCTAAAAAAGAAAAGAAAGAAAAGAAAAATTCAAGTTCTGTATTACAGATAACTAACCGATGAGTCAACATGATTTTTCTTCCCTGTTTATTAATGAGCTCTCTCTCTCTCCTTCTCCCGCCTTCACTCCTTCCTTCTTTTACTCACCTCAACACATTTGTCTCTGTTCTCATTTGCTTGAACGTCCTTTCACCGGGCTTATCTTTTTCTTCCAAAGCCAAAATAACGATGCACATTATTCTTATCTGGGTCTCTCCTTACTTCTCTATTTCCAGAATAGATCTGGCCTAACCAGAGGATCATTGATTAGATGTTTACACAGCACACTGGATCTTTATTGCCCTGTTCATTTGTCTTATTCAGGGGAAATAAGATTAGGTCTACTTTAATTGTGTCATCTCTAATGATACACAAGAACTCTTTTAAAGTTTGGGACAAACCAGAGTGGATAATGTTTCAAAATATCTTTTTTAAATAATTCAATAATAGGCCTCCTACCTCTTTAACCTTTCTATGTTGAATTGAAAACAAAACAAAAAAAAAATAAAGCCCAGGGTATGATTTATCTTGTTCTCCACGTGGCCTGACTCTATATCTTCTTGGTTGGTAAGGAGATGCAGAACCAGGACTCGAGCGGATGTCTCCTTTCTGTGTCTGTTTGGATACCTCTTCCAAATCTCACATCCACTCAAGGCTTTGCCACTCTGATAACTTCTCTTTCCATATATCACTCGCCCACTCAGATCTATAAACTCTAGGCACTCCCTTTGCAGTGACAAGTATGAATTATCTGATTGAGGTGAATGAGGTGAACCCAATTCACCACTCCCTTTGGAAAAATAAGAGGTGCTTTATTTCCAACAGGTGCAGAGCAGATTGGAATTTGGTTTGACACAAGACACCGTCATTGTCATGACCTCTGGGAGAGGACTGATCGTCTACCCAGGGTTCAAGCTCCTTTCTCACTCACAAAAAGCAGCTCAAGAAAGTCCACACCACAGCACTACTGTGGGATTCCTGAAAAATCAGTCAGTATAAGGTCAGCTCTGTCACCATGGTGATCAAGGTAGCCTGAACCCAGCTTTCCTGGGGACTGCAGCAGAGGTAGTGGAATGATGGTGGCCATTCAGAAGCACCTGACGCCAGCCAGGTTGTGCGGTGGCCAGAAAAGCCGGGAAGTCAGGGTAACTCATCATTTGCTCCATTTCTCCCCATAAAACCCTAAACAATCCTGTAGTGATGTGTCAGAAGGTCCTTATTTGCAGTCATCTGATGATACCATTTTCTATTACAAATTGCAAATTCAATTCTCAAATTCAATTATCCTGGAGACAGCCAACCAATAAGCTCGGCAGTGTTTGAAAAGAAGAACAAGTAGTACACAGGTTTCTAAACACAGAGATAAATACAAAACTGTTCAGTATAAGCCCCAGCAAAATAAAAAATGGGCACTTCACAGCCCCGGACTGGGACTATAAAGGAGGAAAGGAGTTTTGGTGGTTGCACAGAAGACAGAATATTAATTTGTGTGTTTTCTGAATTCCAAATTAGCTTGATGAAGGACACTTCTTTTTTTTAAATGGCCACTGAAGCTTGGGAAACTGTATAATACAACTTCTAGAGATTCATAAAAGGTATTGACATATCTAAGATCCTAAAAATCCTTAACGAAATCTCTCTTTACTTTGTTTACTTAGCATTCCCCATATTTGTCCAAACATAAAACATTTTTTCATAGGAAGCCTTTTTGAGGGGCATCTGGATGGCTTAGTCAGTTAAGCATCTGCCTTCGGCTCAGGTCATGATCTCTGGGTCCTGGGATCGAGTCCCACATCTGGCTCCCTGCTCATCGGGGAGCCTGCTTCTCCCTCTGCCCCTCTCCTTGCTCTTTCTCTCTCTCTCTCAAATAAATAAATAAAATATTGAAGAAGAAGAAAAAGAAGAAGCAGTTGCTGCCATCTTTTTGCCAGTTGTCAGAACTTGTTTTCCCACACAGCTCACTTTGGGAAACAATGATGTAAAGAGATTTCAAATTATGGACGGCATCCCATGAAAGAATAAGACTCACATTTCAAGATACTGTCTTCCTATGAAAAGTCACAGACATTTACGAGACATGTTTGAGGCAGGCCTGTTTAGGACTTTGCTATTCAATATGTGGTTCTTGGAACAGCAACATTGGCATCACCACTGAGCCTGCTGGAAATGCAGAACTCTGGTCCTGCCCCAGAGCTGTGGAATCAGAATCTTGGAGCATGCGTAATGCGATCCTTCTGCACAAAAAGGGAGGAAGACTATTTTAGGAGACTCCTATTGTCTAAAGTAGATCCATTTCATGCTTTTCTGCATGCAAACTGGAAAATATGAACTAGAATTATATAATTGAGGTTAATGGCTTCTGTCTTTTAATATTTGAACACTGAAACAATTTTATAAGAGAGTAAAAATTATAGTAAGATAGGTAATAAGCCTGGGTGCCTGGGTGGCTCAGTGGGTTAAGCCTCTGCCTTCGGCTCAGGTCATGATCTCAAGGTCCTGGGATCGAGCCCCACATGGGGCTCTCTGCTCAGCGGGGAGCCTGCTTCCTTCTCTGTCTCTGCCTGCCTCTCTGCCTGCTTGTGATCTCTTTCTCTCTGTCAAATAAAGAAATAAAAATCTAAAAAAAATTTTTTTAAAAAGAAAAAGATACAAGGTAAGCCTTGAGAAGATGACCAGTTTGAATGAACACCTATGAGCACGGGATCTGGATCAGAATAACTGGGTCAGCCTGTAGAATGAAATCAGGAGAATGGCAGAACACACAAAACTGAAGCAAAACTAGAGCCCCCACCCGATTAGGACTTACAACAATTTTCTTGTGAGAAGGAGAAAGCATTTGGTCACCTACAAGGTCATATTGACACATTATATGCAGAATCCTCATTTCATTCATATTTTTTAAAGGAGGCAGGACGCCTCGGTGGCTCAGTTGTTAAGTGTCTGCCTTCGGCTCAGGTCATGATCCCAGGCTTCTGGGATCGAGTCCCACATCGGGCTCCATTAAAAAAAAAAAAAAAAAAAAGCACGTGTCAGGTTTTGAAATATTGCCATTGTTTGAAAATATCTATCTTAACATGTATTTTTTTACTCATTCACTGGTTTATTCATTTCACAAGTATTTTCCTTGGATTTAGCACCATCCTCAGAGCAGTAAGACATAAAGTTTCCCATGAGTGGGCACATAATCTTGTTTATTAGGTGGATTATAATTAATCCGCCATGTTGAAAGCTTGCACATTGCACGGTTAGAGCAAAGTGTTCCATAAATAGAAGACATACATGACAAATGTTAGGTACATACTAGAGTGTGATTAAGGATCTGGAAAAATCCCCATGTCATTATTTATCTGTATATTCTCATATTACTCGAAAGTGGTAGGGAGTTAGTATAGTATATAGGTAGAAGGTAGAGTAAGATTCTCTTTCTCTCAAGTCTCTGTGTTAGTCCTTTTTGACTTCCTCCCTTCCTTACTGTACTACTGTTCAATGATTTTTCTGAACAATGGTTCTTTGAAGATAGTAGCTTCCCAGTGGATGACTGATTCTTCCCCGCACTACCTAGTACAAGGCTGATCTCAGAGTTCATACTTGTAAAGCTTGGGATAAGAGATCTTGGAGAAAGAACTATGAGTGATTCAGGGGTAAAACACTGGCATAATTTAAGAAGAAAAAGCCAGATTTGCATGAAATCAAGATAATAGACTATTTGAGTCCAGAAATTTACTGATCTACTGTGTGTTCATGCATGTGTGTGTGTGTGTGTGTGTGTGTGTGTGTCCTGGCTTTTGGCTTAGCAGCTCTTCCCTAAACTAAAGGTCACCAAAATATAAGAAGATAATTTAATAAAGTTTAATTGGGGACATCTGTGTTAAATAAGGCAAGGTATTCTTACTTATGAAAAGAAGAATGGTATGATCATATTTGTTAGAATTTAGAAAAAGATAAGACATAAGTCTATCAAGAATGGCCCCGGGATGCCTGGGTGGCTCAGTTGGTTAAGCACCTGCCTTCGGCTCAGGTCATGATCCCAGCATCCTGGGATCGAGTCCCATATCGGGCTCCTTGCTCGGCAGGGATACTGCTTCTTCCTCTGCCTGTGCCTGCCACTCTGCCTGCCTGTGTACTCTCTCTTTCTCTCTCTCTCTCTGACAAATAAATTAAAACAAAAAAAAGAATGGCCCCAAATTGGGGCATCTGGCTGGCTCAGTCAGGGAAGCGTGGGATTCTTGATCTTGAGGTTATAAGTTTGAGCTCCACATTAAGTGTAGAGATTACTGAAGAATATTAAAAAAAAAAAAAAGAATGGCCCAAAATATGCATAAAATGGTATTAGGAACAGAGAAGAGACTGTGTCAGTAACTTCACTGAGCGATGGTAAGGATATGAAACAAGACATGGTCCATGGAGATAAAGCAGCAAGTAGATAAGGACACTACTTGTAGCTACACTGGAGCTAAATGGCCTCACAGATAGCATGAGTAACCCTTGCCAGAGCAGATGTACAGGGAAGTATTTACAAATATCAGGTGGCTATAATGGTGTACTGGAGAAATTTCATAAGAATTTGGGAATAGAGAGCAAACTATTGTGTCACATTCATTTTAAGCACTTGGCATGACCTCCTTACTTCTGGAAAACCGAGAGATATTCTGACATAACCCAAAGAAAAGGAGATGGAAGACCAACTGTTTTACCTTCTTGAACTAAGCTGAAGCTCACGATAAAGAAGTACGAGGGTTCTCAGTTTTCCTTGTCCATGTTGTGACTTATTTTGCTGGGACAGGCAGGAAATCGACAGTCAGGATGGCCAGGAATAAAGATTACATCTTTGGTATAAGAAATGCTGCCATTACATCTCCACAGAACCATGGCATGGTTGATAGGATAGATGGAGGGGGAAACACAAAGAAGATAGAGCAGAGTAGAAAGAATGAGGAGAAGGACAAGTGAGAAAAGAGAAGAAGAGTAGGGATAAGCAATGAGCAAGCAGCTCCCATTATCTCGGAAGACACCTCCTCTGGTATGGACCCCGTTCTTCTAATGGGACCTACCATTGGGAGCCTATGAATATCAAAGAAGGAGAACTGCTCTTTGATACAAGGTGTCAATGATAATAATGAAAAGATTTTCATAGGCAAATTGTTTACAAGGTCATCTGCAACCAGGTGAAAACCTTGTAATAAGAGAGGTCATGTCTATAAAATTTGACATAAGTGCCAAATCCTGACTTACTATTCTACTGACCCAGGGAGTCAATGAGGGCTATACTTTTTAGCTGAATAGGACAAAGCAGAAGATACTGACTGACTCCATGAGAAAGGTAAAGGAAAAAAAAAAAATAGAAGTTGCTGGTATCTCAGAATCTAGGGTTTTACTAAGAAAGTAAAATGTGTGGTCTTTCCTCTTAACTGCCTAGATTACTTACGTTATTAGGCTCCCGTCTGTGTTCAGAGATGACAAATGTCTGGAAACATGTCAGGCCCTTCCCTTTGCACTCCTTGCCGGATTAAACTAACTGATTGTGATAGTTTTCCATTTACCCCACATAATACCTCAGAATCTTTCTTAACATAGTATGTCATAAAGTCACTACCAATAGATGATTACTCTATAAACCCTACTTACCAACTCTGTCATAAATTACTTATCTGAGGAAAGAAGGAGAACAAAGTTTCACAGGTGGCATCCTTGAAATAGGCTGAGTTGGTCCAACATGCAACAAAGAGTAGAAGTTCTGGCAACTTCCATGAGATGATGGTGTGGCTCAAGACTAAGACTTTGATTTCATCCAGGCTTAGGTGATGAATGGTCTATTGGAAATAAAAATAGATATTTCATTTAAAGCATTTTGTTTACTAACATTATTAAATGCATAATCTCTGATTTAAAATAGGGAGTCTTGTCCATTGGACATTTACCATATAGATATAATTGTCAAGGCTGCCCTCACATAACGGATGCATTGAATTTTTGGCTGCATGCCATTAAGTATCTGAATTATAAAACTCATTTGTGTTTGTCTTATTCGATGACCATCACACATTTGTATATTTGTTTGCTTCCCCTTTTCCTACAGGGAAAGAATGGGCTGATCATGCTAATGTAAATATTCTGTTTTACAAAAGCTAGACTTCTCCCATGTATTCTACATGAATGTAGTGCAATTCTTATTCTCTTAATTCCCTAAAACTTAGTTTTGCATAGCAGTACAACTGATTTCCCTGGTCCTTCCTCCTTTTCTACTTCCTCTGCTTCTTCTCTGTCCCCTCCCCCTCCTCCCTCTTCGGACTATGTTTAGATGCAGGGTCTTAATAAACCCCATCCAAAACCAACTTTCTCGACCAGCCATCTGCTCTTTTCATCATAAATCTGGGCATAAGCAGTATAGCTCAGTGGTTGAGAGCAAGATATTTGTATCAGACAAACTAGGTTTTGCAACTTTCTGGCTCTGTGACCTTTGGTGAACTTCAAAAATCTCTCTCCCATTCAGCTTTGGTGCTTGGGAAATGGTAATAACAGTGTATTACTGAAGCTGTAAGCTTTAGTAAGATCAAATGAAATGATGAAGAGATGTGCTTAGCAGTCCCATTAGTTAGCACTCAATGAGTATTAGCTTTTATTATTATTATTTCTTTGTAACTCCCATGGCATTAAATTACCTCATGGAAAACCCAGTGACCTGTGAGCAGCCTTAGGTCCATAACGATTTTATGCCCATGATACCAAAACTTGCTTTTGTGACTTAATCTAACTGTTGCTGGTTGCTATACCATTAATAGCTGAAGCTTCTGGATGGTGAGAAATCTATTTTACATATAATTACCTAAAAGGACATTTTAACGACGGTAGCAATTTCGTCTGACTTCATGCCATTTCGAAGTCACTCAGTGTCAGAAAGCCTACGTACTCTTCAGGGAACTAGTTCTTCCCAAGATTCCCCATGTCAAGTTGTCCTAGCGCCATCAGGAAAAATAACAGGTAGGCTATCAATCATCCAAAAGCATTTCTCAGGCTCCTAAAAGAGCATAATGCTATGCTAACTCCAGTGTGCGATGGGAATTACACAGATAGAGCCCCAGAATCTAGTACCTTATCTTAAAACAAAGCACTTCTCCAGGGAGAAGGAGGGAGTGTCTTTGTATAGAATGAGAAGGGGAGTGTCAAGGTGAAAAGAGGATTCACTCAAGTGTCAAGAGACTCAACTTCCCCAGGTTGATCTTTCAGTGTTTCACTTTATATCTCTGAATCTTTTTCTTCACTGAAAAGTAGAATTATAAAATCTGTGTACTTGCCACGGATGCTTTGAGAACTTCTGTCATTTGCCATAAATATGAATAAGTCACTTTCCCACAAAATAATAATGATAATAATAATAATAATAATATCAGAACAGAGAAGACATGAGCAATAATAGATAATTATAAGTTTTCTTTTTTTCTGAATTTCAAATGTGAGCCAGATAGAAAACAATCTTGGGCAAGTTAGTTGGGGGTACCAACAGGTTGGTTAGTGGTAACAATCTAGTGAGCTGAAAACAGAGAAATCCTAATTCTAGGTAGTGTTTTTCTGTTACTTAAGCAGAGATCTGAAAGGTTTTTTTTTTTTGTTTGTTTGTTTGTTTTTGAGCAAAATGCCATTTTTCATGGTGTGAGGGAGTACTGGCCAAGGAATAAGAGGTCTTGAGAACTTGTTCTTGGACCTCTTCAAGGAGCAGCATTTCTTACCAGGTCTGGGCTCTGGAGACAGGACCAGACCCACCCTCCCAAAGCGCTTTTGACAGAAGCGGTGGAGTAAAGGTTCCCAATGACTTCCCGCTGCTCCTAAGATACAAACTCAGTCTATCTTGTTTTACAACTTGAAACTATCTCCATGTGTCCCCC